AAGTACCTGAGATCATTGTCCAAACAATTCTGCAATGATGCTCTCGTGTGAAGTTACCTAATGTATATAAGTGCCAAAGAGTCACTCCACAAAAACCTCCCTAAGACTAGACACCATTTTTACAGTCTTCCACAACAGCCCAGGCTCCTGATGCAGTTTTTAAAGACTATATAGGGTAACTAATAGGGCTGGGGACTGAGGCATTCAGACAGGAAGCCACAGGAGGGTCTGACTAAGTTTTCTGCTAGTTCAAAGGCTGTTGCCACCTATGCAGGTGCAGTGATGTGACTACTAAGCTGGAGCATCTCATCTACATGGTTTGTGATTTCCATGTAAATATGCTTAATTTATTCTGTTTGATAGCCCATCCTTTCCTCCCACAGCGACTGCAATCCCAAAAGATAGAATAGCCCAGCTCTGTAGTGATCCAGGAGACAGTGGGAGAGAGCAGGGAAGGTGCTGTGTGTGTGGGATGCGCACACACACACACGAGGATTTTATTTCTCTTTCTGCCTACAGTAGCTACTCTCCACATTCTGCACAGGGATGAGAAGTCCAAGCAGCCACTTCTTGCCAAAGACTTCTTGCAGGTTGTCCCTCCAGGGCCGGGCTCTCACCAGCATTCCCTTCCGCACCTGGTACCGCGTCTGCCCGCGCACGATCAGCAGCAGCTGGTGGCAGCAGAAGCCGGCGCACGCCAGTCCAATCCCAAGCCAGAGGTAGAGCATGAGGATCACAAACATCTCAGAGCTAAGGAGAGCTCCTGAAAACCAGGAGGGAGGGAGGACAAGAAAAGAAAGTGCTTAGACACACCCCACAAGCAGTTAACACAGCCCCAGGAACCAACAAACCAGCTGTTTTCTCTGGCCACAAGTGGGGAGATAGGAACAAGACAGGCTGGTGGCTATAACTGTATTAAATTATTTCCTTCATAGTGTCTGATGAATGGTGCAGAAATACTCAATACCTGCTGCAGAAATACTCAAATGACAGTGGTCTCTTGTACACTTCTTTTGCTGTTTATGTGTGGATCTAGATTACAGGGACAAATTCAGCCAGAAGTAAAGCATATCTGTAAGACTTCAGCACTATTCTGAACAATAATTAATTTATTTAAGGATTTACCTACTCATCAGAGATTTCTAGGATTTTGAAAAGACAAGTGGACCCTACAGCATGTTGATCCTTCTAAGAAGCCTTACTGTTTGTATTAACACAAGGCAGAAATATTCTGGATTTCTCTTTTTCTCTCTATATATAAAATGTTAAAATAGAAAAATAAATCAATAATGGCTTTCCTACCTTTGGAACAAGGCAGTTTTCGCGTGAATACAAGAAAGAAACAGAAACCTTTCTAAAATACATTCCAAATTCCTTTCATTAGCTGCTGCTAGAATACTCAAAATACTTTGAATATCTGAAGCTCCTAATCCAACTGGGGGGTTTTAGTATATGTTGGTGATGAATATATTTGAATAAAAATATTCTGTAGGCCCTTTTCTCTACAATGATTTTAGAACTCCTTCTGGAAAATATTAGTATAACAGCAGGTGTCACTGAGTGACCTTTCAGTGTGTAAGCAGAGCTAAACCCATTAATATAAAATTCTCTGTGTGCCCATATGATGTTTATGCATGTATTTTGTGCATATTGGTATATTATTAAACACCCATATTTACACACAGGCCTATTTACACAAAGGAAATGAAATGTGTGTCAATACTGGTATAAATAGCTGATATCTTTTCACTGGTCCCTATAAGGTTTAGAAATAAAAAAACTCTCACATGCTTCTGTTCCTCTGGAAGACCAGGAGCCTTACAAGACCAGCTGTGATAGAGCAGGGATTGCCTGGACAATAGAGGTGTGCTGCCCAAAAGAGGTACATGGGTGCTTCAGGTTTTAAGTTCAACAGAACGGTCACTGGATATGCCCCTCTTGTGTCCCTTATGCAGAAGGCTGGATTAGGTGGTATCACCTGGTTTTGCAATCTGTGAGTCCCATCTTTTCCACCTGGCAGTGCTGTAAGTGAGAGATTGGGGCAGGCTCCTCTGAGGATAATTTGTAAGGACACTGACTACAGCCTCAAGCTTTCAGAGACTGTCTTCACTTGAAAAAGGTGCAGGAATCATTCCATTTTCTCCCTAAATGCAATGTCATCTTTCCCTTCTTATTAGATCCCATTCAGCTCAGTGGGCTCCTTGTATGCAACACAGGAGAGAAGAACAAGCCCCTTAGGATAATGACAAATCCTCATACCAATTCTGTCAGAATAACTTAATCTACCAGGTAAGAAGCCCAGAGCCAAATACTGAATTCTTTGTTCATCTTTTACTGGACCAGAGTGTGACAGATATTTATTTTTTCCTACAGCTGATACCCAGATGGGATATGGGGAGACACCTTTTCTTTAGATCCTTTGCAAGGCACCTGTAGGCTTTATTTATCTGACTTGATGAAATTCAACATTCAGGAAGTAATTACCCTTGTTTCCCTTTGAAAATATTAAGCATCTCTGAGCCATCCTTTCCAGAGACAGCATTTTTTAAACCATTTCTTCAGGCTACCTACATAAAGAATTTTCTATAGTTTATTTTGTGTGGTCCAATACAATGTGTTTACAATAGTGCTCTCCATTTACCCCTGATCCCCACAGTCTCTTTTAGCCTTGGATTCTTTTTTTCTCTAAGTGACCCAGTCTGATCTCAAGGTTATATTGCCTTATACTATCGATGCCAGAAAAGCTGTATTGTAGGATGTAGTTATCGACTTTGGGTCAGATTCTGAAATCCACGCCTGAGTACAGTCTGGGCAGAATGAGCCAGCTGAAAACTTTCCCAGCATGAAAGCAGGAACACTTAGTTGACATAAAACCAGCACATTAACCCTTCATCCTCCTTTACTACTTCTGCAGTACAGTGGGCATGATGGAGAAGAAAGATAAAGTTTTTTCCCTGCTATCGCAGTTCTCTGTTTGGATGATACAACAACCCTTAAGTAACAGTTACATTAGCTGAAAAATACTGTGTGAGCAGCCCTTCCAGGTAACCGTTCAAGACTGTTTTTCTCTCCTGAAATGAAGGATAAATGTACTGGTAGAAATCCAGTGGGCCCTTCCTCCCAAGCAATCAAGACACCACATGCCTGTATCTTGCCCTGTGAGGCAGCAGGTCTCTTCTCAGCAGAACTAGAGGTTTGGTGGGAGCTGCTGGAAGCTGCTGCCTCTCAAGGGTGTTCTGGCTCTTAGCTCTGCATCCAGACCCATTGTGTCCCACTCAAACACTGTCCACGGGCTGTATTGGTGCCACAGCTGCTGCCACCAGAGCTGAGGCACTTCAGTGTCTCTGCAAATATGTGCCAGGACCCATCACTGTGCAGACGAGCCCTCAGAGTCAGAGAGAACTAATTCCTTGATAATCTCCTCCCATATCCCTGCTCCCCCTCCCAGAATGCTGTGCTGAGCAGAGCTTAGGCACCGGGGAAAATCATTCCCAGTGTTTTTAATGCTAGTAAAGCTCATGCAATATTATTTACAAAAAATTCTTCAAGTTGGAAAAATTATTCCATAAAAATGTCCTGGCAGGATTTCATGTTTATTGTCTTTCAGTGATTACCATGACAAATCTGCAAATTTGCCAAGCCGAGAGATATTTGTTTGTTTTCAGATGGCATTCCAGCCTGGAATCTGGAAAGCAAGCTAGGGCCTCTCTGGCTCCTGTATTCCCAGCAGCGGAGTCTCCACACTCAGATCTTAATCAACACTTCTGGTGACAATGCACAAGCCAAAACAGATCCCCTTCTTACTGAGTTCAGCTGAACCTGCAAAGCTAAAATATATGGGCTACCTATTTTGGTCTAGTAAAAGCTGATGCAAGTGCGTGAGGCTGGAACTCATAGAGGGGAGACAGCAATTTTCTGCAGCCACTCTCAGGGCATAGTAGCAGTCTAGGCTGTCTGCAAAATCCCTTCTCTGAGGTCAGGATCTGTCTAACTCTTGGGTTTGGACAGAGAAAGGGTTGAGGTTGGAGAGTTTGAAGGCATGTGAAAGGTGAAGAGCCAAGGCTTCTTGCTCTGCAAGAACAGAGGATGAGTTATGGGAACAAAATCAGGAGAGGGAAGGAGAAGGGTTGTGGAGATTTACAGAAAGGCAGGGAGAGAGGGGGAAAAAGTAGAAAGAAGGGTAAGGAATGGAAGCAAGGAGAAGGATGTATTTGCTTTTGGTGTGGAGCCTTTGCAAAAAGCAGCACAGAGAATTTCCCATGGTTCTCTGTGGACTTGTGTCCCAGACTGGGGTCACAAGACAGGTACCTAATCATGTCATATCAACTCCTCTCTCGGTTTCTGTTGCCTAAACCCCAATTCTCCTGTGCTGGAAGGATGAAAAGATCTCAGTAAGTTTGCACCGCCAGGAGGCAGGAGGTGGGTGACAGTGGAGGGAGGGAGTGAGTAGACCTGGATAAGATATACCTGCTGGGATATGGGGAACCTGCAGATTTGTAGGGCACAAAAGCCTACAGGACCACGCCCATCTCTACCTATAGGACAGGCAAAAGATCCGTCATCCCTGCAGTGAAATCTATCTCCTCTGTCTAATTACAACACATGTCCTGCACAACAGATAGCTCTATTCTATCACCACACCAAGCTGGTTATGAGGCATATTCCAGAGTCTAATGCATTGGGAATGTAGCTATGGATGTAATCTGGAGCGGGTCCCAGCTTCTATTTCAGGTGAAGTCTTTTGGAAAGGCTGGCAGTAGCCTCCTAAGAAGGCCAATTGCCCCTCTGGCCCATTTCCATACCACACCTCCACACAGATGACTATCCAAGGAAGATCAGGTCCCCCCATCCCAGGAGCCCTGGAGGAGGAACATGCTCCTCATCTTTGAGCAAGGAGTCCTTACCTGAGAAGAACTGGCTGATGGAGTGAGGCAGAAGAGTGAGGAAGGCCAGTGGGTCTGCAAAGGACATGGAAAGTGTAGCAGAAATGTAAGCCATGCCTGCCACCAGGGATTCAAGGCAAGCCAGGGAGGTGTAGAGGCAGAACATGATGAAGTTTCGCATGTTCCTGCTCCCGATGCAGTTCCCTGTGAAGAAACAGTGGTGGTCATGCCTCTGGGTGACTCTGGAACACAGTCTACAGAAGTGAGTGCCGGGCAAGGCTGAGCCAGGGGATCTGCTTCCATCCAGCCAGTCTGCCACTTCGGCTCCTTTGCCCAAGTTAAAGTCCTTGCCCAAGTCCTCGGGGGAGTTCTGGATCACAAGGACGTAGTTGCCCAGGGCATTAGCTGAGAGGAAGAGGAAGAGGGCCCCATGCAGCAGAGCAGGCGAGAAAAGTGGGGTGGTGGAAGGGTCTCTGAACATGCTGGGGATGAAGACAAAGATCTGGAGGACGAAGGTCACTAGGGAGATGCACAAGAAGTAGGCTGGAGCGACAACATTGAGCAACCTGAGAACTAGCATTGCGGATTACGTTCCTGCAGGGGAAAGCAAGGAGAGAAGGAACATCACCGCTCCGGCTGCACACTTCATCCTTCCATTTCCTGCCGGGTCCCGGCCCCGCTGCCTTCGGGAAATGCCCTCCGGGGGCCGCTCTCCCTCGCCGCCGCCCCACGGCCCCCGCCGGGCCGGGGCAAAGGGACGGCCCGTGGGCAGCGACCGCTCCCCGGCTCCCGGAGGAGACAGCCCGGCCCTGGCGCCAGCCTCGGAGGAACTTGCGGCAGCGGTGCCCCGAAGGGGCTGCAGCGGCTGCAAGGGGAGAGGCGGTTCCCGCGGTGTGCCGGCGATGCGAGCACCGCTGTGTTCGCCTAGCAGTCTCTCTGCCAGGCAGGGTCAGTTTTGGTATTGCATGAGAGGAAAAAAGGTGGTGCTGGAGGAGGGGGGAGTGAATTGGAAAGGAGGGGTGGGAGGAGGAGAAGGGGAGGGGGGAGAGGTTGCTCTAATCCACTGCAATACGGATCAAATCCAGTGCTCTAATTTATCCCTTAAAGCCACGGATCTACAGATTACCTCTACGACCGCTGCCCCGTTCTGCACGAAATTAGAAAATATACAAAACAGCTGGTCAAGTGCTGTCCGGATGCAACCTGCGGAGCTCGGCTGCCGAGCCGGAGCAGCCCCACAGCTGCAGCCGCAGCTGTGGCCGGGCAGGACGCATCCCCGCCGGGCAGGCGGTCACCCCGGCCGCGGGGCTCAGCCTGCAGGCTCGGGGCACGGGGCAGCCCGGTGGGCACACGCGGCGGGCAGCGAGCTGGGTGGCGGTGCGGCTGCCCCGAGCACCCCCGCGCCCGCAGCCGCAAGGATTCCCCAGCGCCGGTGTCTGCAGAGCCCCGGCGGCCCGGACCCGCTCGGCCCCGCGGCGCTGCGGGCTGCCCGCTGCCACCTTGCAGTCCCCTTGTCCCCCGGCGCGCCGGGAGCCGCCCGGTACCGGCGTGTGTGGCGCCGGCGGAGCCGCTCCTACAGCCGGCCATGCCGAGTGAGATCCCCGCGGCAGCGGAGCCGGAGTGCGCCCGGAGTCTGCCCTGTTCTTCCTCTCCCTTCCTGCTCTTCTCCTGTCCGTCTTTTCTCTGCCCCTGTCCTCTGTCTGTCTCTCTCCGTCCAGTGTCTTATGTCCCTCCCTGTTCCTGTCCTTGTCCCTGTGCTTTTCAACCACGGACTTCTCCTCCCTCCGGAGTCCCGTTCCTGTCCGGGGGTCTCCCTTCCCGATCCTCCCCGTGCTCCCGCCCCGGCCGGGCTCCCCGTAGCTGTCCCTTCAGCACCCGCCGCCCCTGCAGCAGCTCCGTCCGCCTCCCACCGAGCACAACCCGCCCCAGGAGAAGAGAAAGGTGTTCTTGGGCCTCTGAGGTCCTCACAACTCCCACGGGGAGAGCAGAAGGGTGGGAAGAGGCATTCTGCCCCTCCAGCCCGCAGACCACCATTCCTCCCCACAGTGTGGGTGAGGCAGGCAAGGTGAGCTTTCTGTGTCCCTGTGCCTCCCCAAGGCTGCCCCAGTTGGAACCAGCACTGGAGGCAAGGGGAAATGTGAGAGGGAGTCGTTGCAGGTTCAGAGCCTCCCTTAACACAAGCAGGAAAGGCTTTGATGTGGGCAGGTGGTGCCTGGGCAGTAGCAGTAGCCTGGTGCTGGCAGAAGTTTTGCAGACACGTGTTTGCTCTCTGACAGCTACACACCCTCACCGCCCCTGCCCACCCACGCTCTCCTTGTACTGTCTACACAGGCTCTGTGCACGGCCTCTCCTTCTCCTACATACCTACGTGCTGCACCCTCCCAGCTCTCAGGAACAGCATCCCTGTCTCCCTCCACAGACGAGCCACCCATGACAGGAAAAGGGGAGAGAAGAGGGCTGTTGGGCTGCAGCTGTGTCCCTGGAGACAGTCAACTCTGCACTGGTGAAAAGTCAAAGAAAAATGCATTTTACATAATTTCAGGTCCTAGGTTTACTGGCCAGTCCCTCAGCACAGACTCTGCAACTCCACAAGAGACTCTCCCTTTGCCCGAAGGTTCAGTGCAAAATGAAAGTGTGTTTCACATCTCAGTTTCTAGGGAGAGAAGACTGGAGAAGAGAGCGGCTGTGCCTGTCTCCTGCACGTGCACCAGCGTGGAAGGTGATGACAGCAACCAAGTGTTCAAGGGCTCTTCATTAGAAATAACTTTTCTCCCAGGTAACCTTAATGGTTCGACATTTCTGAGAAAAGCAGTGGCAGTAACACAACAAAGTGCAAACCAATCCCGTAGGCACTGGATCTGCAGTGATGAGCAGCTAAGAGACACCTCTGGCAGAACTGAAGGGGAAGCTGCTCAGAGCAGATCTAGTTTTCACTCCCACCTCCCTCATTCTCCTGTCACGACTACTGAGAATAAAAATCCTCCAATATTCCCTCAACTCATCAATTTAAAGTAGACTGAGCCTTGCAATAGAGATACATGACCCAGTCTAGTTTTATCTTTAAATAATCAGACAGTGTTTTCTCCATATTTTAACAGCTTACATCAAAATAATAATAAAAAAAGAAAATTACAGAGAAGTCTTTTCATGTCATGAAAGACTCTCAGCTGAGGGGACTGCATCTCATGAAAGACATTAAGCCTGCCTGCATAGGGAACATCAAAGCTGTAGCCAAAACAGGGGGAGGAAGGGAAGGGAAGGGAAGGGAAGGGAAGGGAAG